AGTTCCCTGGTCTCCTCCTCCCATGCCCGCCTCCAGGACTTCTCCAGGGTGTCACCCATCCTCTGGAACTCCCTGCCCCAACCCATCAGATTATCACCTACTCTCCTCTCCTTTAGGCGCACTCTGAAAACCCATCTCTTCAGGGAAGCCTACCCCACCCCCTGCTAACCTGCCGACCTCCTCCACTCTTCCTACCACTCCATCCCCCACAGCTATCTCCTCCTGTACCACTATCCCCTCCCTCCTAGATTGTAAGCTTGAAAGAGCAGGGCACTCAATCCCCTCATGTTTTGCATTGTATTGGTATTGTTCTGTCACATGTTCTGTCCCCCTTTGTAATGTACAGCGCTGAGCGAACCATTGGCGCTTTATAAATACTGTATAATAATAATAATAATAATAATATGCATAAATTGGTAGTGTTTTGGTTCTGGATCACATGGCCCAGTGCCTCTACAGCCTTTTGCTTTGACTTATGACTCTGCTGATATGGATATGAGAACCTATAATGCAGAGCTGCTGCAGGCCAAAGGGCCTAATACTGTTTTAAGTTACAGTGCCCAGAACCTAAGCACAGCAAAGTCTCTTTTTTACAACAGCCAGGGAAGTTCCTTTTAATACAGTGATGGCTAAAAATATTGTCACCCCTGTATTTTTTGTCAGATAATGAACCACTTCGCCCAGAAAAGTGTTGCAACTACAAATGTTTAGGCATTCTCATGGTATATGACACAAAAAAAAGTGAAGAGACAAAAAGCCAAATCCAACACATTCCAAGCAAAATCCCAAATATGGACTGGACAAAATTATTGGCACCCTCAAATTAGTATCTGGTAGCACACTCCTTGGAAAAATAACTGAAATCAATCACTTCCTGTAACCATCAATCAGTTTCTTACACCTCTCTAGTGGCAGTTTTGACCACTCTTCTTTCACCAACTCCTCCAGACCTCTTAGATTGAAAAGGTTCCTTTTCCCAACTGCTCTTTTGAGATCTCTCCCCAGGTGTTTTATGGGATTGAGATCTGGACTCATTGCAGGCCAGTTCAGTACTCACCAGCATTTTATCTGAAACCATTTCTGGATGCTTTTTGATGGATGCTTTGGGTCATTGTCCTGCTGTAAGACCCATGACCTCTGATGGAGACCCAACTTTCTGACACTGAACCCTACATTGCACCCCAGAATACACAACAATGAACTTAACATGAATGAATCATAAACCCATTGCCTTTTAAATAGGGAGCTTTCACCTGTGATATCACCATTCTCTGAGCTTATATACCTGCTGCAGATGCGCTAATTGTATACCTCATATTTGCTTTCCTTAAGTAACCTGTTAATCAAATATACCATGCTTGGACAGCATTCATTTTAAAGATAGTTGAAAATGGCAATATGCTACACTTAAGAAAAGCATATACAGTAAATGAAATGTATACTGTTTTGGTACAGGTTCAGAACTATTTTTTGTATGGCTTCAGAAATGTTTCATTCTTTTACTCTGGTAAACATGGCATATAAATAATTGAATGATTCATACCTACATTTACAGCCAGCACATGATGCTCCTTTTCACGTTTTGTTCTGTTGAATAAAACTGTTGTTTACAGAGCTCAAGTGTATACTCACACACACATTTAAAGCCCAACTCCAGGATATTAGCAAGCTCCCAACCCCCTCTAACTAACTGCTGGTATGGAAAGGAAAAAATATTATGCAAATGCCCATGCAGAGGGGTCCCCTTTAATAAGCTACAGAAACAGGAGAACTCAAGGCAGCGATGAGGGGAAGATAACAATTGGGGAAAAACGCCTGTTCCCCAGGGCAGGAAATTAGCTCGGCTAACAGAGGAAGCTGTGACTTCGATCCATTACACTGCAGGATAACTTAAAAAGAGGTATCTGAAACAAGACAGATGCGTAAAGTAATTGATGTACAATGCACTATATCAATTTGATTTTCATCTGGAGTTTAAAAAAATGTAATCAAATTGATTCAAATCCATTCTGGTTTCCTTTTAAAGTGAAATTAAAGACTTTTTTTTCCTTAAAATAAAAAAGATATTATACTTACCGGCTCTGTTCAGCCATTTTTTACCTCATCTTTGGCATTCCCCCTCCAATGCTGTCCACTTTCCCTCCTCAGAGTGCTTCTTCAGGAAGCTGGGTGCTAAGGGGGCACCCATGTGTATGCACTCCTAGGCTGGGCTGTGTCCTTATACACACACAGCACCAGCAAACCATGCCCCTGCTCCCTCCTCACAGGAGTTTGACTGACAGCAGCAAGAGCCTATGGGACAGGTGTTTAAAGCGGAGCTCCATCCAAAAGGGGAAGTTCTACTTTAAGCACTTGTTCCCCGCCATTAAGGATTGGAACCTTTGGGGAGTGGGTACCCAAATTTGACAAGTCCCCGCTCCCACTTTCACTGCGATCGCCTAGGTGATCGGACGTGGACGTTGTCCTCCCCCCTCCCAGTAGTCTTCTGGGACACGTGACAGGTTCAAGAAGACTACGGGGCCATTCACAAAGCGCAGCACTTTTCACGCATGCGCAGTGGGCACCCCGGCTGTGAAGCCGCAAACTGTCACAGCCAGGTGCCCACAATGAAGATGCTGGTGCCAGGGAGAAAAGACGGCCGGTGAAACCAGTAATGGTGATGACACCGGTGGATAGAGGGACAGGTAAGTGTCTGTATTTTAAAAGTCAGCAGCTACAGTTTTTGTAGCTGGTGACTTTAATTTTATTTTTTTTCAGGTGGAACTCCGCTTTAAGGACAGGAGTAGAACAGGTAGTGGGGCATTTTTTATTTTAATGCATGGAATGCATTAGGATAAAAAACGTTATGGGTTTAGAACCACTTTAACCCTTTGCCTGACACCGATGTATAGCACATGTCAGCAGCAGTGGATGACTGTACAGCCACCCAATGGCTTCCATGCACTGCTGATACATTCACATCCCCCTGGAGACCTGGGATCAGCATGATGGGTACCACCGAGTAGAGGGGAGGGAGACCAGTGAACTCCTCTACTAAAAAAAAGAAAATGGAAGTGGCGTGTATTACATAACTTCCGAGTTCAGCTGTCACTTGCCCAAGCCAGTGTGGCCGGGAAAGAAGCTAACAGAAGCATTAGCCTCAAAGAAGGAACCCATGATGTTTCAAGAGAACCTGTCACAACAAAATAATAAATAACAAAAATAAAGTTAACTGACAAAATTGTAAAAAAAATAAAGTTACACCAAACCTCCATAAAACACTTGTGGGCCCCCTCCCCACAATCACACACATGCACATATGAGCATAAACACGCATTGGGGCACCTATGTATGAAAACTTTGATTGCGTTGAACATGCTACATGTTGTCATGCACATCAGATGGAGAGCAATGATTCTAGGGAAATTTGTCATAGTTTACTGTAAACTGATGACTTCTAGAGGCTTTTAAAGCATTGTCTACAGAAAATTTCGGGTACCAAAATCACTATTTTATGGGTGCTTGCAATTTTTAGACTTGACATGTTGGGTATCAATTTACTCAAGGCAGCCTTATTTATATTTTACAAAAAAATGGTTAATGCATTGTATTGTGTGCTCTACAAATATAATTGTATATTGAAATTTTGCATTTGATAAATCTTTTTGTTCTCCAGGGTCTCTGCTTTCATAAAATATATGATTTTTTTTGATGGGGAGGGGGGGGGGGGGGTAAGTAATCGTCAGCCCGAAAATTTTTTGAATGTGCAAAAAATATACCTTACCATCTCATCTTTTATGAAACAAAGTGATTTTATTTTAGTAATGATGTAGAACCATTTGCTAGCAGATGTGTTGGTAAAATCTATTACAATTAGATTTAAATATACCTGGGACAAAACTAATATTTATTTTTATATGTGCCATTTACACTAGCAGTGCTAGGAGATCATGTCCGTATAGTGCAGTTCTATCTAAGATTCATTTCTCAGATCAGGGTAGAGTGGGACAGAGTTTGGATGTCCATGACCTCTTCTGTTGTAGTGAAATCTTTCTACAATTCCATATTACCTGTGAGGGGTTCTTCCTTGCAGCCAAGCTACTGTTCCAACTGACTTGAGGCCTCTATGTTTTCCTATGGCAATTTCTCCAAAGGAGCAGGACACAGAAATCTTGTCTCAGAAACCTCTATAGGATTCTCCACATGCAATTATAGAAAAGAAGCTGAAAGGATGAGCTCAACCTGTTAATTGCAGGGATTGATGGAAGGCATAGAAGACGATTCAGGTGTAGGTCCAGCCATTTTTTTTTTCTTATGGATTGGGTAGGGGAGGATCACAGTTGTTTTTTACTGGTATTCAGGGCTCTTTTCACAAGAACTTTCATCACTTGCTGTCCTGGTGAGAACCCTTTTAGCCCAAGTGGACATTCAGTTTAAATAAGCTGACTACATTTCATATGCATCAAAACAAACCTTGTTTGGTATTTTACAGTTCATTATCTTTCTAAAGCAGCCACAATCTGAGTAGAAAAAAAAACTGTCCACTTACAGCATGCTACAGAGAATGTCCACACCTCTCTGTCTGGAAGCAATGGTCTCTCTGCAGAGGTCCAACACACTCCCTACTGAGTCAGACCTATAGCGCTGCAATCCTCAAGGCTCATGTTCCATGCTGATTGGAAAGCTCTGACTCTGACTTAGCAGGGGCTATGTCAGAGCCTCAGTAATGAGACTACTGCTTCCCCAAAGTGGCAAAAATAAAATTAAATGTTTTGCTAAACATATTGTACATTTAAATCCTACTCCAGATGACCCAACATAAAGAAATCTGTTTTGTAGACACCCTATCATTCAATCATTTTGGGTTTCTTATTTATTGAACACCAGAAGAAAAACTCTCTTTAATCACATTACAGTTATAAATACAGAATGATTGTGAAAAAATCATGTAAACATCAAACAAATTACAGTTTCTTTCATCTTGTTTTATGAAATTCACTGTGATCTTTCTCTGTTTGCAGGCAGGAAAGATTCATTTTGGCTACATGTACACAATGAGTATATTTGGTTGCCTGGGAATTCATGCTTTATTAAACCTGATGAGTTTCACAGGTGTCTCACACGGATGTGTTGCCAGTGTCTTGGGTTATTGCCTTCTGCCTATGGTAATACTGTCTTGCTTTGCCATCATATTTTCTCTCCAGTAAGTACCAAGAATCTTAAAAATGTTAGTTTTTGAGTCTTTTGCTTTTATTTTGAATGACAACATTGCTGAGTTGGAAGTATCTTAACAATACTTTGAAAGATCTGGGGATGCTTTTCTGAATTGGATGAAATGCCTGGGAGGAGCTGATTTAAAGTAGAGTTCTGGCCCCTCCGCCATAAAAAATTAAAAGTCAGCAGCTACAAATACTTTAGCTGCTGACTTTTAATATTAGGGGACTTACCTGTCCAGGGATCCAGCGGTGTCCTCACCCTGAGTCGATTCTTTGATCAGCTGTCGGGTGCTGGCACCGTCATCTTGACTAAGGGAAACTGGCAGTGAAGCCTTATGGCTTCATAGCTGGTTTCCTACTGTACATGTGCGAGGCATGCTGCGCTTTGTGAATGGGCCGCAGTCCTCTGGAACCTGTGAAGTGACTCAGAGGGCTATGAGGGGAGCGAGAACTTCCTGCTCAGTTTGCCATGGTGAACTGAGCCGGAAGTGGGAGCGGGTACCTGTCAAAACCAGGTCCTCCCCCCCAAAAAATGCCAAATGTGGCAGTGGAGTGGGGGGCAGATAAATGGAGCTTCCACTTTTGGGTGGAACTCCACTTTAAGTTTTCCAAAGCAAAAAATATATTGTGATTGTTAACAAAGGAGTGGTTGATTTAGGAGGTGGATCTGGAAAATCTGCTGGGTTACAAATGGTTAAATCTATGGAGGTGTATGCCTTCTCCAAGGTGGATGCCTGTTATTCAGAATGTAATCTTCTACTAACTTAACTTAGAATACTATCCTTCTCTTAGAAGGTATGGGGCTCTTCTCACTTTAGCTTCCCCACAAGGAAAAAACAACCAAGGTGATTGGTTTTGTATCACCCCTTTGTCCAGTGCACTAGAAAAGGATTCCTTAAAGTGATAGTAAAGCTAAAAATGCTTTTTTATCTTAATGCATTCCTGCATTAAGGTACATTTTTTTTTATATATTTGTCTGTCCTCCCTCTTCCCTGTGTGAGGAGGAAGAAAGGGGAGAAGAGATCCAGCAGTGTGCACAGCTTCACACAGGATCTTGAACAGCTGCAAGAGCCATTGGCTCCTGCTGAAGTCAATCAAGTGCAGTGAGGAGGAAGTGGGGCAGGGCTAAGCCCTGCTGTGCGTGTCTATAAAGTGCAACTCCATAGACACGCAGCTTGTGAACAAGCAAACACCACATGCCCCCATAGCAAGTGGCTTGCTATGGGGACAATCAAAGAAGAGAAGGAGCCAAGACCACCAGCAGAGGATGAGAGAAGAGGAGAATCGGGGCTACTCTGTGCAGTACCATTGCACAGAGCAGGTTAGTATAACATATTTATTATTTTAATAAAAAAAAAAAACATTATTAACGCTTTAGGAATGTGTGTATTTCACTCATGTAAAAACAAAGCCACCCCCGTCTCAGCCACATCCATAAAGTATTTTCTTTTAAAACATCTTGCTGCATCTATTCCACGATGGGTCTGGGAATTCTGAAACATCCCCATTGTCCAGTTTCCAAGTGGCCAATTCTGATTCCTAAAATAATTCAATAGAGAATATAGCAATGGAGCTATATTGCAACAAGGATACTATGAAGTATTTCCATCCATGAGTCAGTGGATCAGCTTATCCATTTGTACACCAAACATATAAATCGATGAAGCTGTAAATGTACACTTTCAGTCAGCTTTAAATATGCATACCTTCTTATACAAAGCAATTTTTTTTCTTTTTAAATTATAATTTGAACCGTTTTCTAGAGTTGCTGTCACAGACTTTTGTTGGTACTATGTATAAAAGGTCATGGCAGTGCAAAAAAGTGATGAGTGACCATAATGTTGAGGAATAATCAAAGACAACAGCTGCAATCAGAAGTAGATTATCCATTAAAGTGCAGGGAAGATCAAAACCAGCAGCCTTAGCAGGGAGCACCATCTGTCCTGCTCAACTATGTTTGTGGATAAAATATTTCCTAAGTCCAAGGCAACAAGAAGCTGTGCAATTCCAAACCAACTTAGGAGATGCCAGTATTATATCTTATCTCCAGCTACACAGTAAATAAAACCACTGTGCCAGCTGATCAAACTTTAATAGACTGACGGTAAAAGAAGCCAGGATATGTAGTTTTGTATGTCAAGACTGACTTGCTTCACGTAAACAAATAAAAGACATTACCAAATCATTTTGTAAAATAGTTGCTACACTAATGAAAATATGTATATGCATGAAATATCTTTTCATGTCCAAAAAATGACATAAAGATTATCTGACCAAGGCTGCCAGCTGTGCTGATTCTGCCTACTGTGTGCCTAGCACAATAATATGGTATCTTCATTTTTTTTGTAAGACATACATTTTTACATATGAAAATATTAAAGTAGAATATCAGTATTGTTTTCTTTTCTAATTTCTGGGGCCCTCCCAACTTACCCCTCATTTTCCTGTAACATAAAATGTGTCCAAGGTCTGCCTACTCTCTCCATGCTTCAGTCTTGTAGCCAGCCTTTTCCTCCATTCAGCATCATTGGCCCTCTTCTTAGGTGAACAACAGTTAGTGCTTTAAACCCATTTGCTGTGAGCCTAGCCTATTGTTGATACCCCCCATTTCCAGAGGGTACATTATCAGGCAGCCTAGGCTCACAGTGCTCCAGGACTGACTGAGTGGTGCTCACACAGCATGACATGAAGATGGCTTAGTCCAGGAGGAAAGCCCCCACTGCAGCTGCGAAGGAAGAGGAAAGACCTATACCACTACTTGACTGACTATAAGACTGCAGGAAAAGGGTGCAAATGTTTTTTTTTTTTTTTAAGAGATGGGGCTTTAGGACATGAGTGGGTCATGTGTATGAATATATGGGTGGAGTTCCACCTTAAGTTGTAGAGTGTAGTATGACCTGCTGTTTCTTGTTCTCCTCATCTTCCTACTGGCTGTGCAGTAGGCCAATAGGCAGCGAGAAGTGCGGGAAGGGAAAGTGACCATAAGATATCTGAATGTATTGCTATACATTTATCATATTAGGTGATGTACAGTACATATCATGATATTCCAGTCAGTGGTATCTGCAGGTACTCTACAGAAACCACTCTCCATACATGGGTGTGAGGGACATCTCGTTATACCAGTCTTCTTTAAACTACACTGGCCTGTAATAATTAAGTTAAAATAAAATGTATTTTAAAAACAATTCATACAAATATATCCTTGCTGCATCCAATCCCAGTGGGGAAGAAAAGTACCTCTGGGTATGGGGTGGTGGATGTGTCTCTCTCCTACAATGCAGTGCTGAGTGCTTGAGCAACCAATTGCCATGCTCCAGTGTCCTTTGTAAGCTCCCCAGCAGAACAACTTAGAGCTTATTCAGAGTTTCTTGTCCTCATTCCTCCAGGTAAAAAGAACATCGGGGGAGGAAAAGAAATGAAAGTATATGCAAATGCATGGGCAAAGTTAACTTTAAAAACATATTTATAGAAGCAGGAAATAAACTGAATCCACATCCTTTCTCAACCGCCATCATTTACATAACCCGCATGCATTCCCATGTGATAGAAAACATGAGAAGGCCAGACTGAAACACTTTTTTTTTTTAAATACTTCCTTTATACTGTTCCCCCGCTGCATCCATGTGTAACCATTTCAATTAGAGGATAAAGATCTACTTTCACTTCACAGATTGAGTTCACATGATGCTTGATAGATTTTAAATAAAGCAAATGGACCAAAAGAGATTATTTAATGAGATTTCATGTCGGAGGGCTGTAGTTATAGATCCGCATTTTCAGATAGAAGGATTAAGCTGCATCTTAAAGGGAAGAAATGTCATTTATACTAGGGCAAAACAGATTATGTAGGTATTAAGCTGTATGCCGCTAGTATCACCAAGGCATTTATTATCACATATGCTTTCAGCTTTGCAATGACACCGAGTTAATGCTTACATTAAAAAAAAAAAAAAGCACAATGCCTCTAAAATCAAAACACATATCATATATAAGGATTTAATAAAGATGTATCCTATAACAGCACTTAATTTCAAATTTTCATGTGGAATTTATGAAATTCTGCAGTGAAAATTTAACCTACAAGCAAGGGTTCCAGATGTCCTAAAATATGAATTTCCAGTGTCAGACATTGTTTGATTTATGGTGTTTTCACTCTTCATATCTGATTATTATTTTGAGTTATGCCACAAAAGCTGTGTAAAATGAAGGAAAAGAAACTGTTGCTAAATACACTCTTTTCTGATTGTCTAATGTTTTTAATCTGCTAAATAAGAATGGTATTAATCTGCTTGTTACCCCAGCCATATTGGCAGTAAGTATTTCACGGTATGTGGTCGATCCTTTATATTAGACAGCACTAAATGCAGTACAAGCACACAAAACAGGAATGTAATCAGATGAGCTGAATATTATTAAAGATGGCCAGAAAGCACTTTAAAGACTCCTGAGTGAGGACAGGTGTGCAGTTGCAGTATTAAGCATCATCCAGCAGATGAATTGTTACAATTTGGATCACAAAAGTCTCACTTTTACATGCAACAGCATGAACTGGAATCACAGTGTACTTATACATGTACATATACAGGACATGATATCATATCATAAACATAAGATAGTGGTCAAAAGAAAGGAGAAATGTTAAGATAAATGTTTGCCTATTAACAGCTGGTATTTTTCATTCATTTTCTGTCAAACAAATGTTTTGCCTGCCTTTTTCTCATTATTCCCTTAACTGAACTTAACTGAATATTCGAAAATGAGTAAGCCATTAGATAGTATTCACTTCTGTTTATAAAAAGGTTTCTCTCTCAAAATTATGCCAAGCTCATTCTTATGTCTACGAGTCTACAAGTAGCCTTAGGCCCCTATCACAGGGGGCAGATTCTGTCCCGATCAGCAGGGGACAGCCCACAGTTCCCCTGCTTATAGGAGCAGAGTGGGTGAATGACACCACTCAGTTTTCTGCAAAACATACAAGGACAGA